GGTTAACAGGTGGAATTTGATTTTCTTCGTAGTTAATACAGCCGTTTTTACTCCAGTTGAATAGTGTCTAGCAGTGATATCGACAACGTGCGTTTTGTCCTCGTTGAGACTCGTCAGCTAGATGCACATGCATCCTAGTGTTGATATTCAAAATGGAACTTGAACTCAATACCTTTTGCCCTAAACACTGACCTATTATCCACTAAACTACTGACTCCAGATATCCACTCCGGTCAGAGTGCACATAACCCAATAGAGACAGATTAGTTTAAGCCTTTAATATCAACAAAGGCTAAAACAATTAAAGTTTGTAAATAGCACTATATTTAATTAAAGCAGCCATTTATACATATTTCGTCGGCATGTTGCATATGACACTAAATTGTCACAGCAATAGTTCATATCGATTAGTACTGATTGTTTTTCGTTTTCACACATTATTATTATTATTAATGATTTCGCTTAATTATTTCTTTTTCTTTAATCAATGTTCTTGTTTTATTGACTATCAACGACCTTGAATCATCAATTCATAGAAAACAGTGAAAATGATGATTCTACTGTTTAAGAATGAATAAAATAATTGTCTTGTTAAAGTGTTAAATCAAGTAGACTTTCTTTTCTATATAATATTAATATTTAGTTGAAGAAAATGATTTTCACAACAAACTAACTTAGAACACTGATAGAACAATTGAAACTAACCTAGACTTATTCCAAAAAAAATACACTTCACTTCTTGAATTTAACCTTAATTAATATGAAAGCTTAAAAAACCTGAGACTAATTCCTTCCCTTATCTTAAAATATTATCTTGACTACTAATAGATGCTGGATTAAATAGTAAATGAATGATGAGATATCATGCCCATAATAAAGTTTGAAATTTTCAAATTCACTATATAATTGAGAAGTTTTGTATTTAGAATAAAACAATCGTTCACTATTACAACTACTTTCTAACACTCTTACAATTGATGATATCAGATCCAGATGGAAATAACTTTTAACTTATCAAATGTTTTTTTTTACGCAATCGGTTTCAAAGGTAAAACATGAGAACAGTGTGATCAACACTCCAGTCACTATAGATACGTGGAAAACGAAGATGCAAACAACAAAAACTCAACCAATAAAGTATAAAAATAGTCATCAGTAAAGAGACCATCAATTAAGTTTGAATGCAGTCCCTAAAAATCTGAATACATTTTACTCATTATTGTAATCAATAAGTACCACCCAATTTAAAGTGATCGAACTCACTACAGTAACATTGTAAAGAGTAAAAATACAATAGAAGGGTTAGACATAGTTAGCTACTTAATGACAAAATTAAAAGTTAGTTTCCCTCTAAAGTTAATATCAGCTGCGGAATTATTAAAAACTCAAGAGGACTGAATAGGTGTTTCATCCTAGTTTGACACTTCTCAACAGTATACATTCACAATCGAAGATGTGATCGAACTCAGGTTTCGTTGAAAGGGTGATAATTTTAAATCAGGAAATGTCGCCTTAATAATGTTTTAACGAGCAACTAGAATCGAGATGGATTAGCAAAACTCTAATTAAAAGAATTAATGTATAGAGATAAAAAAAATTCGGGATTGACACTGTAGCTCAACGATGATACTGTTTAGGAATCGCGCTACATCACATCCGTCTTCGTGGCTCATGCATGGTATGTCCTGCGTCAGATTTGTAGGCATAAGAAGTTAACCCTTTCCAGGATCTTGGGTATGAAACTTTTAACGAATTCCAAACAACAAGAAGACAATTATCTACCACTTCTTGGTATTCAATGGTTGGCTAGTTCAAATCATCCCATGATGTAGCTTCGAAGTAAACAATATCTCTAAAAACTACTATCTCAATATCACATACAATATAACACAGAGGCATTAAAAAAGAGGAAAAACAAAAAAGTAAGAACGGCCATCCAAGAATGCCAAACTTAACCTATTAGATACGAATCAATGCCAAGGTTGGACTTGATAGTTTCAAATAAACTGAGCATTGGGCAGAAGGTTAGTGATAAATATATAAGTAGAAAATTGTATTTCTGACGTTTCGTCATATAATGTAACTCACTTCTTCAAAACAAATAAACAACCGAAATAAAATCAACACAGGTTTAGGTGGTACAAAGAAAACAATGAAGAATATTTTAGTAAAGTCAAGATCATAACAGATCTAACGGGACTATATTCAAAGATCGATTCAAAAATCTTCAAGTGGTTAGGAATAAGGTTAAATCACAGAAAAGTGAACTTTTGAGTGGACTTCCCACATACGCTTTATCGAAATATCGAAATAATACTGGAGCTAATTCAACATAACCTAATTAATGTCTTAAAGGATTCATACGAATTCAAATCAAAGAACTCGGAGTTATCCATCAGCAAGAACGAAACAATGGTAAGTTATGATGTTGCATCTTTATCCACTAGCATCCCAAATGGTCGTTGTCTAGAATTTTTTAATGGTTTAATAAAGAATATTATTACTCTATCTAGAAGATATCCATTAAGCAATAGTTCAATCATGAAATCCTTCAAATTATGCTTGAATTCAACACCATGCACTTTCAAAGGGACAAACAGAGTAGCCATCGGATCTCCGATTGTTGCTAATTTATTTATGTCCCATATTGAGTTGGTTATTTTTGCCAGTACCATCAGACCACTCATCTGGCTCAGATATGTAGATTACACATTTGTCATTATTAAAAAAAACCTTAGAAATTTCTCCAAACAGATAAACATCTCACTTTCGAAAAGGAAGAACATGGTGAACTAACTTTCTTAAACTGTTTAGTTAAAAGAAATACTAATCGAAGTCTAAATTTAATCATATACTGATAACCGGCACATTTAAATCGATATATCGATTTTAGCCCTGTACAACCATTCAGTGCAAACGTTTTCCTAGCTCTGGTTCCTTTCAGAAGAGAAATCAAGATAATTACTTCGGGAGAAGACAAGCTAAAAGAAAAATAGAATTAATAAACATCCTACGATTTGAGAATTCTCCTAAGAATACTATTAAAAACATTAAGACAAAACCATTTTTCTTTAAAAAATAACAATTTTAATGAAAGATCTTGGATTGGTACTGTGATTTTACTTTATCATCAAGATAAGACAGAAAAACTACAACCAAGACTAAGAAACGCTCTAGTTAGAATAAAAGATAAGATCCTGTCCACTTTACACGAAAATTGTGTCGATAGATTATGTTGATTTCAATTCGTTCTACATTAGAGAGCCTTACCGTGAGATATCGATCCGACCAGAACAAAAAATAACTTATACAAAATCATCTCCTAATAATCCTGTAAAATTGAGACATCCACAAGTTAAATCACCAACAGTAGTACATGCTAGTTTCAACAATCACCAAATTCATATTAAAAATATTTCAGAAATGTTCTCCCAACTATGAAGGCAGGACAATAATCTGATGCTAAATCCCTCTTCCCTCAATACGAATGAACACCTAACCATCCATCCAATCTGAATTGTTTATCCAATTAACCACATTTGACCCCATTCATTTTCCACACGATCTGCATACACACATATATATATATATACTCAATTTCAATATCACTCTACTTCATATTACAAATGTATACATTTTTTACCCATACATTTACACTTATGACGCACAAATTAATGCAGTGATAGGTGATACAAAATCACCTTGACTAAAAATAACTTGACATTCACATGTTCAGACCTATTATAACTCTGACTGTACTAAAAATATTCTTCATTGTTTCTTTTGTACCATTTAAACTTGTGTTAATTTTATTTCGGTTATTTACTTGCTCTGAAGAAGTGAGTTATGTTACGTAATGAAACGTCAGAAATACAATTTTCTACTCAATGTAACTTCACAAAAATATGGTTATTTTACCTATTAAGATAGTTGGAGATAGTTATCAAGAAACCTTGATCTTAGGTTTATACTGGTTGGCACTCGTCAGTAAGGTGCATATTTGGTCTTGAGGAAATTAATGCTCCTTCGTGAATCTGGGCCTGAATCATCCTGTTTTACCGTCTAAAGCATTACCACTGAGTTATGACTGACTTCCTGTAGAACTGAGATATTTACATTAGTTGATCATTGATCACAGCTAATCTCACGTTCATCTAGCCCTTAGTGGTTGAGACAAGTGTTATGTATATCCAATTGGCATCTATCTCGGTACACGTTGCTCGCTTCCTTACAAGTAGGTTGTGAGGAAAACAGAGAGGTCAACTCAGGGCGTTAGATTGGTCCACAAAATCACTGGTTGTTGTACAAAGATGTGCAGATAGGTGTAGACTGACTTGTTGGTGTCCTCACTATTACTCTAACCAAATGTTGGAAACGTTAAGTAGCGTAGCTGGGAAATAGTAGTAAGTAGAAGATGCGTTCACTTTTTGTCTTCGCTTAGACCTTGAGTCTAGAAATGATCGTACGCTTTTTTATTTTGCGAGTTCATGTTTTCTTCTTGAATCACAATTCCGATAACTAATCCGTTTGTATACACTCTCGGTCTTCCCTTAAACTATGAGATTAAAATTGCTTTCTTTCTTTCTACCAACTAATTGTTTCTTACTGTACTATATGCTCATATGCAATCCTTTTCTTTATATTTTAGCACCATTGAATCAACTACTTATATGAATTCGGTGTTCATCTTGTTGTGCTAATGAGATGTGGCAACCTGGAGCGATGCATATATGTACCGGATCCTACGTTGTAGCTGACTGATCTAATCCGTTCAAGTACCACTGATACTGTTACTACTACTATTCTGGGATTTATTTTGTCATTTCACTGTGCTAATATGGTGTGACAACTTGAATCGATGTACATGTGTCTGGCCTTGTTGTTTATGATTAACAGACTAACCAGTAGGCTAAACACCAAAATGTCAATGTAGATATATTAAGATGAATTTAAAAGATAAACAAACTATCGATACCTATTATTTATGAAAAATTACTTACAAGATTGATGACCACTAAACATCCAATGCAGTGTCATTGTTGAATACACGCAATTCACGCTGCATGTATATAATAGCCAAACAAATTTATAAGGAATCGTAGCTACAAAGACAAATAACAAAGTTGATATAAATAAATAGAAACAAAACTACTAAACGAATTTTTTTAATTGAAACTATAGTATGTATGATATGTGTAGCTAGTGAAAGTAAGATGTGATTGGTCACTGGGCGTGGATTGCAAGATACCCAGCTTGCCAACTGTCCTTCATATTAGTAATTTTACTCAAAACTCACTGAATTTACACTGCTTGTAATTGTATTGCATGAAGCAACGTCTAGCCTATACACTGGCTCTCTATATTTAGTCGTGAGTCGTGTATCTGTGAATGGCATATCAATTGAGTATCCAGTCTAATGGCAGTATAATCTCCGTCACCGATCCTATTATCGTGTTATATGTTGTTACGTAGAACAGAAAATACCCGACCGTTGTTACTACCTTGACGTGGTGGTCGGGCTTGCCTATCGTGATGAAGCAACCGAGCTATACTGGCTGGAACAACCGTTCCTCAAGGTCCTACCATGGCAGACAGGTCAGTTGAAGAGCGGTATGACTAAAAGCAACAAACCCAAGGTCCGAAGGCGAAGTCGTACTGCTGACTGTACAGGGGTGTGACAGCAGTAAGGTGTTTCCTTCAGACAACCAGCATGACAGCGATGCTGCCTTCCCACAAGGAGGGGTGGGGTTAGAAAAGGTCGACCCTACAAATGCACACCTCGCCTTATCCCACGGATATCCGTCTCCGGAGGTAAGGTCTCAACAAGTACGGAGCTAACACAAAAATTAGCCACAAGAAGGTCGTATGTAACCGACCTCAAGCAGTTGTCCTTGGGCACTGCGGTCACGCTACCAGGTCACTAAGACCACCTCTAATCCAATTTCCTTTTCAGGCACCTGCAGAAGAACCCTTCCACGGTGTGGGCAACCGGGAAGTGATAATTGCCCTCATACCTCTGACAGCACTCAAGACTGACTGAGAACAGAAAATAACTTTTATTCTCCCCGTTATACGAATATGAAACAATCGGTTTAATTTAAAAATAAATTTTAGTACACGGTTGATATTGACGTGGAAGTCTAACATTCAGGTGTTTGTTCATTGAAGAGTGAATAAACCTACAAAACTGGTATCTTCCAATCGTTTATGACGCCTGATCACGTTATTTTTATGTTAAATCTTTTATAGAAACATGTCATTTTACAACAAACAAAAACCTATTTTTTGACTATTAATTTCGTCCTTAATTTCCAACTATTTAGGAGATTACGTCAATAATTCGTTCTAGGGAACAGGTGTCATTTAGTTATATTGTATTATTGCATATTATTTATCAATCAGCATTCTCTTTGTTCATTTTAATAATTGAAAATTCAGTCATTAAATCATAAAATTTTACTCTATAACAACAAATAAAACATCAATTAGGAGTGAAAACATTCCAAGACTTTAAAATATCAAGTAAATATTTCAAGCATTTTTGATAGTACAATGAAAAAAATAGTGCTACAAGTGAATTTACACTACTAACTTCTATTATGCTATAAATCATGGTTGGATGTTTGACTTGTAGGAAAACAAGTCAGTCAGTCAATCAGTAACAACATAGAACTTCGTACGTACGTACATCAGTTCGAGTTGCCATATCACATTAGCACAGAGATGCAGTGGTCGATTCAAATCCCGTAGTGATAGAGGTAGTAAGAGTATAAACAGTAATCCGAAAGATTAACGTTTGAAGATATTATTCAAGGGGTATAATCCAGTGAAATAAATTTGGAGAGAGTAAAAAGAAAGGGATATGAAGAATTCAGAAGTTGGGAGAATACAAAGAGTGGATGCACCTGCGCCATTGCAAACGATTTTGAGCCATGTCATTCAGGGTCTCTAACCATTGGTTGTTATCGTCTCGCGGACCTCAACCAGGTAGTCTACACCTACCAATATGGCTCAGTTCACTTGTCAGTGACTTCATAGATTTGTGTCATATTCTGGTCTGGGCGCCCCTAGCTTGCTTCCAACCTACTTCTACACCATAGAACAAAAGGAGACAGGAGTTCGCAGAGTTGAAAAAATGTAAAATTAAGAGTAAAATATCAGGAGGGGTTTTGTGGAGATTGTAGTAATTTCAACAGATGAGATCATGAGTCAATTGAAGCTAGACCACCATGGAAAACCTGGAAGAACTGGACAGCGGTTTCGTCCTATTGTGGGACTCCTCAGCAGTGCGCATCCACGACCCCGCCTCGCGGGATTCGAACCCAGGACCTATATATATCGTGGAGTTCTAGTGAGAAGCAGTGACCAATGGAGCTCAACTGGGTCAGTTGTGAGATAGTAACTCACTGATGACAATGGTGGATGTGTCGCTCAACTCCGTGGATGAGTTGAAGTTAGACGTTAACACCGTTGGATGCTGGCTCAGCGGTCTAGTTGGTTAAGCGTCTGGCGCGAGACTGATAGGTCCTGGGTTCGTGGATGCGCACTACTGAGGAGTTCCACAAAAGGACGAAATCGCTGCCCAGTTCATCCAGGTTTTTCATGGTGGTCTAGCTTTAATTGACTCATAATCTCAACTATTGAAATTATTAAAATCTCCACAAAACCCCTTCTGATAGTAAAATATCCAATTAGTGATGCCTAGTTTCTAATCAATTAGCAGAATAATAAATCAGTTGACAGCTTTTCTTTTTTCTTTTAAAATACTAAATAAAATTGTAGCTCAATACAATCACAGTTTACACTTATACTACTTAAAACTATAATTAACTTATAAGCTTTAAAACAAAATAATAAAAGAACACAATTGGCTAATAGCAATATTGTGTATATTATTTCTTGGTTAAATTGGGTGTGGTTTTATTTTTCTATTAATTTAAAAAATAAAACAAAACTTTTGAACAATCTATTTCATTTTCTTCTCAAGGTCAATCATATATCCCTACTTGATTATGTTGATGTTCTTAGTAATAAAATAGACGTTGTTTCATAGAGAGAAATAATTCTTACTTCATAAAAACTTTTTAACAATATGAAATTATTGTATTACAACAGAGAATATACTCATCGAATGTGTATCTTTAGTATTATTATTCTTTTCATTACATTGTGTATATGTATAAATATACACATATACATACTCTTTCATTGTAGATAGTAAGATGTATTCAATATCATATGTTCATTAAACAGTATTTATAACAACAACAAAGTGAAGGACATATTTGATCTAATCAATAATATTGATATGTATCATTGATGATCAGTGATTAAAATGATATGAATGAATTAGCTAATTAATTAAAGAAAGCATTAACTCGATTTTTATATGGATTTGACACTTGCTCAATACCTATTTCTGTTTAAGTCCCCCAAATACTCTGGTACGGCCGATGATGGGTAGAGACTATTCTCCCTCTCGAAATGCTCTCACATGGCCACATGTATACAGTCACTGGCAGAGAAGTTCTACTCAGTGCCTCCTCGAAGCAGGAATGTTGTTTACGAAATTGTGTCTTGGTGAGTACGGAGGATCCACCTAGGGGAGTCAGAAAACCCTGATTCAGAACCAGTTGTGCACATGGACTCCAGGATCCTGAGAAAACAAAGGGCGTATGGACATATTATTGGTCACCGGCTACCATGGAACTGCATCTCCTAACGTTGCTCCACTGTTTTATGGATTGGACCTTCAGGTGAGAAACTCGGGGGTGGCCCCCTAAGAAAACCACCTACTCCGGTTTGGGCACCCGGACAGTATCTCAGTCGTCACACAAATCATTGGATTTGTGTGACGCATATATATTCGGCATGTCCTTGTACCAATATTTATGCATATAAATAAATAAATAAACATTTTCGGAGATTAAAAACATTAACGACTGTGAAATTGATAGGTTAAAAGCGAAGAAAAACAACATATTTGATATACAACCGAGTGTGAAATCTTATTGTAATTCCCTACATGAGAATCAAAATACATTTGTCTGAGTACAGCAAAATCTTTAGGAAAGTTAACGCAAAAGATCTAATTCATGGTATGACTGGTTGCTTCTTTTTTCTTCCAGTAAAAACAAGTAAAATCGGTAGTTAATCGGATGACACGTTGGTTGTTTAAAGAAAAAGGTATTGAGTTCAAGTCCCAATGTGTGAACATTAACACTGAAATGAAAGTATATCCAGCGGACGAGTCTCAAAGAGGACGAAATGTGTGCTGTACATCCCACTGGCTATATGATGGTGGAGATGATCTGTAGCTCAGGTAGATGATTTTGATGGAGTTTTGTTCTCTGAGCTGGACGGTTTGGTTGTGGAGTTTTCATCGTTCTTCTGAACGACATAGTCAGCACAAACTTCAGGTAGAAGTGAAGTGTTCGAATTTCTCCTTATGTGTTTCACAGCTTGTCCTGTACGTCTCGATGTTGATTGGTTCTTGTTGATATCGAGACGTACAGGACAAGCTGTGAACCACATAAGGAGAAATTCGAACACTTCACTTCTACCTGACGTTTGTGCTGACTATGTCGTTCAGAAGAACGATGAAAACTCCACAACCAAACCGTCCAGCTCAGAGAAAAGAACTCCATCAAAATTCCACTGGCTAGCCACTATCCAGATTTAATGATAAAAACTTATGAATAAATGACATATCACGATGATCCGCTTAGGATGCGCATTTACTCAGTCAGTCAGTAACAACGTAGAACTTCGTACGTACGTACATCAGTTCGAGTTGCCACACCACCTTAGCACAGAGATGTAGTTGTCGATTCAAATCCCGTAGTGGTAGAGGTAATAAGAGTATAAGCAGTAATCGGGAAGATTAGGGTTTGGAGATGTTATTCAAGGAGTATAATCCAGTGAAATAAATTTGGAAAGAGGAAAAAAGGGACATGAAGAATTCAGAAGATTAGAATTTGGGAGAACACAGAGTGAATGCACCTGCGCCATTGCAAACGATTTTGAGCCATGTCATTCAGGGTCTCTAACCATCGGTTGCTATCATCTCGTGGTTCCCAACCAGGTAGTCTACACCTACCAACATGACTCAGTTCACTTGTCAGTGACTTCATGGACTTGTGCCATGTTTTGGTTTGGCCGCCCCAGCTTTCTTCCAACCTACTCCTATACCACTGAACATAGCACATCGAGGAAGTCGGTCGTTGGGCATACGTAACACGTGTCCCAGCCATCTCAACTGATGAAGTTTCACTACTTCATCAATTGATTTGCCATCCTTACCTAGTACCCGTTTCCTAACAACTGCGTTACTTACTCGATGGTCCCATGATATACGAGCAATGTTTCGAAGACACCTATGATCGAATACTAGTAGCCTACGAATATCCTCTACTCTTACCGGCCATGTTTCACTGCCGTAAAGTAGGACGGAACGAACTGCTGCGCAGTAAACACGTCCTTTGGTTGATAGACGGATATCTCGCCTACGCCATAAATGACGCAAGTTGGCAAAAGCTAGTCGAGCCTTCTGTATCCGTGCTGAGATTTCGTCACACACTAAACCACAAGGGCTGATGAGACTTCCAAGATAAGTGAAGCGGTCGACACACTCAACTACTTCACTCCCTATCACTAGTTCGGGTGTCGATGTAACCCAATCCTGAAGCAACATTTTGCATTTCGAGGGAGAGAATCGCATCCCGAACATGCTTGCATTGTTGCTTAGAGTGGTCAAAAGACTCTGCATTTTGTCAGCGTCTTCACCAAATAAAACTATGTCATCTGCATATTCTAAGTCAACAAGTGACCGCGAGATGATAGCAACCGATGGTTAGAGACCCTAAATGATATGGCTCAAAACCGTTTGAAATGGCGCAGGTGCATCCACCCTTTGTATTCCCCCAACTTTTGAATTCTTTATGTCCCTTTCTTTTTACTCTCTCCAAATTTATTTTACTGAATTATACCCCTTGAATAACATCTTCAAACCCTAATTTTTCTGATTACAGCTTATAATTTTACTACATCTAGCACTACGGGATTTGAATCGACCACTGCATCTCTGTGCTAATGTGATATGGCAACTCGAACTGATGTACGTACGTACGAAGTTCTACGTTGTTACTGACTGACTGACTAATCGACTGTAGTTGTTAAGATCAACAATGAAAAAATACGATTCTTTGTAAATAAAATGATCAAGTTAAAACATCATCTCGAAGCTTTTGCGCGGTGAACTGACATCAGCTGAATTATTACTAAAGACCGAAACGTCATGAAAATATACAATAGTTTCGTCTTAGTTTAAGCTACTTCGCAATAACGGGCACTTTAATTCTCATTATTATTTATATTTAAATTCTACTAATACTCACTGCTGAAAGCTCAGTGTACTATATAGTTTTGACTAGTATACCTAATGTAAATAAGCATTACTCAAATCTCACATTTACCTACACTGAATATTTAGAAAGCCTCTTTAGCACTTCCTTCATTAAAAAAAGAAATAGATGTACAACTTGCACATTTCTACATATAACGCTAAACAGTGGTGATTTCGATTTTTTTTGAATTCGAAGATATTTGTGAAAATTTTCGCAAGTACTGTTAGAAGAGTATAGGGCGTTGTCACTCCCTTGTTGCCCACAGTGTGGAAGTATACTTCTTGAGAGGATTGAAAAGAAGTCCGGGTTAGAGATAATTACAACAACCTGTAAATGAAATCGTAGTTTCTAAAGTATAGCTTTCTAAAATCAATCACATATGGCCACTTTAAGAGTACTTTTAGATGAGTTAGCTGTTCAATTTTAGGGCCTTACAGTCAGAGACGGAAATCTGTGAGGTTTTCTATTTTTAGGATCGATCTTTTCCAATCCCCACCTTCCGTCGTGAGAAAGTAGCATCTCTGTATATGCTTGTTGTCTAAGGGGAACACAATACTGCCGCCACACCTCTGTACAATCCTCAGTACGACTTTGCCCATAGACCATGAGTTTTCTGCTCTTAGATTTACAGTTCTCCAACCAACTTGTCTGGGATAGACTTCAATGAGTGGATTTTTCAGCCAATATGGCTCGATTAGGCCATTATAGCAGGCAAGCCCGACGATTAAGTCGAATAAACAGCTACAGTCGGGACCTTACTAAATTGATTTAATATCTTACACTAATAAAACCTTGACTATTGATGTACAGAGACGATTATACAGATTAACAACACAAAGTATTCAATAGTGTACAGGAGAGGTTTGTGTAGGCTGTTAAACTACAAAACATTCTGATTTCTAATGAGATAAAATGATACATGAATTACAGTATACAAATAGCGAAGGTAACTAGATACAATAATACGATAATCGTTGAACAAAGTAGAATAAAAAATATTTTTCCTCGGGTATTTCTTGATTAACACATTGTTCATCGGTTCCCCCGATACTCCATACAATCAAATACTTTTCGTGCACACACACACAGGATAGTCTAGTTTTGAAAATATTTCGAAATACTAAGACTAACTCAATTATTTAATTAACAAGGAAGCTGTCACCACCTTTATGAAGAACATGTAATAAAGGCGTGGAAACAGACGATTTACCAACAATATTAAGGATCTTCAAAAGGAATGAACAAAAATATCACTGAAATCACAAACCGATCAAAGTTAGACAACCATTAAAAACCTGAAAGCACTGGATACCCGTTTCGTCCCAGTACGGGACTCCTTAGCAGTGCACATCCACGAACTCAGTATATACAGTCTCGTACGCGAACACCTAACTTTTAGACCATTAAGGTGGAATCCAATAGTATATAAGTCTAAATTCAAACCGGTCCAGGATGGAGCACGACCATCTATTGTCTTCGGCGAGTACCTTTGTTACATCCGACTGTTTAGTCCACTGATCAAAGCTTCACGCCAGAACGCCAAAAACTTTTTCTCTAAGCTTGTCACTAGTGAGCACGTGATAATTGCCAGCATAGGGTTGTGAAGATTGTTGGATTTCACTAAAATCACGAGAATAATCCGATGTTCAACATTAATGGGAAGTTAAGGTCTTCTGTTAATAGGATGTTTAAAAATAAAGGATACCTGTCTCCATCAGGTTAAAGCTTGAATCGCGCTGTATTAAATGACTCAAAGACAGGCTTTTCTACTATCACATAAACAGAATACATGACTGTGAGACGAACATACTCTTCAGCTAGCACCACAATGGAAGAGCAAGTAAATATCCCAAATAGCTCAGAATTTTAGTCTTATTAACTTAATTTGGAAATGAGAACTATTGTTTGTTAACTCAGAAAGGTAAAGAAGTGATGATGATGTTGAATGAATTGAAGAGTCCAAGTCCAACCCCTAGTGGGGCCAAGGATCTGGGCTTTTGGCTGAGGAAACCCAAAATCGTACGAAACAAATGTCCAGTGGTACCATTAATGGGGTTGGTATCCATGATGAAAACTATATTCACATCAAAGAATTAATTCCCGTAATTTACTCGATTAAATCTTATGGTCAAGCTGAATTATAAGGGTGAGCTCGAATAACATAAAATGACCTTGATAAATATTGACCCGTTCAGACAATCAGAAACAGCATATATGAAAGAGTGATTTATGATCATACGACTAGAGTTTAAGATCAGAATTTAGAGTTAAATTTAATGTTTTCATCACGAACTGTAATACAAGAATGTTTTCCAGCCAAATGGATGAATGAATTTTATTTTAAAAATTCGAGAGGCACTACCGTAAATTTGATCAGTTTGTCTATAACTTTGAGACTCGTAGATTAGATTGTAGTCTTAACTAAAGTACTTAATGATGATTTTGTCAATGGAACAACATTCTTGTCAGACATGTTCTCTATGACATTGAATTGGTTTGCACATTAATATATTGGATCGCCCTCATAATTCAGCTTTATTGATTTGTAATACTTACTTTCGTTGTTTGATTCCCCATTTCGTCTAGATATGCACACCGCATTACATGCCAATATTATATAACATACAGCTGTGCCTAATAAAGCCCACTGAGATGCATCCAAACACCAGGATAGAAAGTCTGGAAATTTCGGATCACGTAGAATTATCCATACATAATCCAGGATGAGTAGAGTTGCGAACAAGGAAGCAAAAATACATCGATATATTGCAAATGCATTGCCTCGACTAAAACATATGTACTAAAATCCAAGAAAAAGAATAAAAGTGATGGATTAAGCTTAATGCAATCGGCAAGTATTTGGAGACTGAAGAAACTCAAAAATTAATATTAGATGAAGTCACTGATAGTTGGAACATGAAACCTGAATACACTTGCTTTGTTTGAAACTCTCACTCACTAGCCAATAGTCGTTTTCAGCTTCTATGGGAATTAAAATACAACATTCAGCTTTTGTAATCAGGATGTTGAGAGTGAGAAGTACTGAAATCCTTTGGTTCGATAACTGTAGTTAACAAATGTTAATGATAAAGAATGTTCCATCGTTTATGAATTTCGCATCACGATCAAATAATTTTATTTATTTATTTATTTGAATACATAAATATTGGTACAAAGGGGGACCAAATACATATGCGCCACACAATAGCAATAAGGTTGTGAAGAGATAGGAGATATAAAGTGCGCATAATAAAGAGGATAACAACAACGAGCAGAAATTAGTGCATGAGAGTGGAATAATAATAATAATAATAATAATAATAATAATAATAATAATAATAATAATAATAATAAAGGGAAACATTTCAGTTATCAAAAATACAACCAGAAAGAATTCTTTCAGTTAAAGAAGTTACGTTCATTTTTATGAAGAAACTAAAAGAAAGTTACAGCAGGATCCCCCACTGGCTTCTATCCTGAGCCGTATCTAATAACGTCTCTAACCAGTGTTGCACCATCTCTAGGCTAGAGCTTCAAACTGATCTAGATGAATAAAATAGCTAGTCTAAATGAATTTGCTCAGGAATAGGTTTTGGTTAAATTGCAATAATCCAGGTCGAACACAATAATAGCTATAAGTACACCACCGATGGGATACCATTTCCAAAACGGCGAGACTATAATTTATGGACGAACCAATCACGTATAAGATAACAGGTCTCGGGTTTTGGTGCGGAATTCACTCATTCATTCGGATAAATAGAGTTTTGGCATTTTAGCTGACGTCAGTTTGTGATGAAAACCCTAACCTTAATCACCGACTTTATATCATAATTTTAATTCTCCACACAGGTTTATAACCTTCATTCCGTCCTGGTTATTAGGTGGATACTCTCAAGGACAGTCTGGTGTCACTCAAAAGTCATCCATAAATTACAGTCTCACCGATGTTATGCGTAACGGCCAGGTGTAGAGCGTCCTAATGCTTTGATGAAGGAATGTTTCAGCTTCCGTATCCCAAATGCGCAAGACCTCTTTTTGAATATCGTGTCCAAGCAACTAATCCGTATCTAAATAGACAGACACTTGAGAATGTCTAAAAAAGTAGGTACTAAGTTAGTGACGGGGCTCTCCAATTAATTCCATGATGAGCGGTTCACACTCATATCTCGTCCCCTTATCGTGCTATATAAGGTGACACATAAGCACTGTATAGTCTAAATGATGACTTGGTTGTGAACATATCTCGCCATTCCCCACTTCCCTACGACTAGCCATCACCGAGGCAATCACAAAAAGGTTCGATAACCGCGGTCGAATTAGATCAAAGTGGGAATTCACTCATCTCCCCGAGTGGCCAACGGCTGAAACACCCCGTTTATTTTCTGCTTGAAACTGCCTATTGACAGACTATCTAGTCAGCTGACAAGATTGGTTACGTCGATCTTATAGGGTTCCGTAGTTAACGCCTAATGTAAAGTATAGAAAGAATCAGAAACATCCATGAATTATAGTTCATGGGTCATTCTAACCTCTACATATGTAGAGGTTAGAATGACCCATTCAAGTAATAAGCAAATGATATTAAAACCATTTCACACTAAAAGGCCGAACACAAAAAGGCGAAGTCAGACAAATTAGACAGATTACAAACTTACCCTGCATTGATAAAAAACGTTAGGATGGGGATATACGAGGCTAAATCGTTCTCTAGTGCACTCTACGGCAATCTGTGAACACGACATAAACAGGTTACAAGCTTAGTCCAGGGGATAAATAAACTGTAATGTGCAACTCGATCAGTTGGCTGGAATTGTCTTCAGGGTCAACCCCCCCCCCCCTATGAGATGCGTACAGATCCGCGACTCAATTGGCCTCCAACAAACTGTAACGTTCCAATTAAATGTATTGATCCAATCGACCAATGAACCAACAATTTAAAAGCAAAGGTCGTCTCTACCTCAGCGTGTTGCTAATGTTACAAAACCAAGTTTTAAAATTTTGCGGCTCTATAGCACTAAGGCCACAAACATACGATGGGTTATAACAACATAGTTATTTTAAACCTTAAATATCGGTGTATAAAAATACTAATCTGTAGTTTCCTTGGGACCACATTCGTAGTCGCATTAGAAGATGATTGGTTACCGATAGTTATCATTCCTGTTTTAGTCTCTTAGGAATACAGGAAGACTAAAGCTTTTATGTGTGATTAAGTCTTCTTCTCCTTTATGCCCATCGAACTCCCAGTAAGATTTTCATTGTAACTGCCTACTTGGTTGAGTTTACAAATCATGGTGCTTTTGGGTGATAATTTTGGAAATCATTTTTGTTCGATGCTAGGAACAGTTTCAACCAAATATAATAATCCTCGATGATGTTTCACTGTGCTGAAGAGAATACTGTTAATTATTGAGATGGTGCTTGAAGTGATTAATTCAGAAACATACAACTTCGGCTTCTAGGAAATAAGGAGCAGCAACGGTGCGTTTCTAGGCACACAGAAGACAGCTATAAGCCGACAACGTGAAACACCATGTAGGGCTGGAGTTTTAAAGAATGTACAAATATAAAATTTATACGTTGGTGAAAAAGGTATTCAGAACAAACACAGTTAGTCACAGTAGCATTTTGAAAGACATAAAGTGATAGTAATTCACTGCTGAGAACAACTAAGCTTGAAAATCTCTTGGAACCAGTTTTATCAACGCTATTGACGGAAAGTACTTATACAAGTAAAGATGCCAAGGGTATTCGAATCAGAAGTCAGAAACAAAGTGGTTCGAAGACATATTCAGAGGGCTATCGGATGTCGAGCAACGTTTGGTCTAAAGTGGCTCACAGCTGAAAGGAATGCGCCGCACAGCATACCCACACGTGATCTGGTGCGCATGCGTGGCCGAGCGCCTACGAAAACGAAAAACCAGTGGATGGTTTTGAGTCAACTCATGTTAAGATAGACATGCCGTTTACCATATATGGCGGTCGATTTTCCGTTTGCCGCCCGTAAGTTTAAACCCGGTTCGTGAAGTCCGTCGTTAGAGCTCCCTGGAAGAACGCTAACTTCTGCGCTGGAGTCGACGGGGTAGCGGACTTTCGTAACCACCTCAGTGACACATAACAGATGGCTATGTTCGTCGGCCACTGTTGCCGTTAACGTGTGCCAGCTGGAATGTTCCCCGAAACGTTTTTCATGTTGGTCGGTTTGAAGTCCGGAAAATCGAAGTGTCTTCTGCAGTTTCGAGATTTTCCGTACTGATTATGGAACCAGCACCAGTCGGTGTTATCTGTCTCTCATGATCTAGAGAAAGATAGTTTTCGATCATAGCGGATATAAAGGTAACGTGTCAGAGTATAAAAGAGTTCCCTATCATCATTTCATGTCATTTGAGGCCTTTCGTTCGACTGAAATTCCTCGGCGTTCGACGTTTTGCTGATCCCTCGAATATGGTCAGCAGATTCGGCCAGCTCGTTTACGGCGTTGTTCTGAAACGAGACAAGCACCGTCTGCACCTAGTGAGGACGTTTAGACAAGAAAAGTTGTCTAGACATGCCATCACCGAAAGTCCTTTGACAAATTACCTCTCTTGTTCGTAGTAATACGTCTGTTGCCGAGCCATGTTGTAGATCGATATTATTGAAAAGTTGATCTAACCTGTATTGATCGCTTAGAACTCCGCGTCTAAGAATTGACCTTTTAAGAGTTTTGTAAGGTTCCGAAACATCACTAGTAAACATGCTAGGTGTGACGTGCTTGTTGAATTCGCGCCTTGGTGCCCTTAACACTGCGAGGTACTGTGCACATGGGTCAGTCACTCCGCGCTTATAGAAATCAGCCTCTACGCAGCATAGCTAGGCTTCAATATTGTTAGGCCAAAATGGCATTGGCTGAAACAAGAGTGGCGTAAGAGACTTCAATCTTCAGTAATAAGGATAGTAGGTTGATGAACCTGTGTTAATCCTGACACATTGCTTTCCAGTGAAGGTCCAGCTTTTCCTTGAAAGTATTCACTGATGGGGCTGATACCACTTGTTCGGGTAAGGCGTTCCAATGATTGACTACTCGATGAGAAAAACGGGATCCCACTTTAAGTTTATTAGATCCTGGTTTATGAACCTTCTTGCTGTGACCTCGGAGATTATTAGTGCTGGAGGGAGCAAAAAGATAAGACATATTAACACCCAAATCATAATTAAAGATACGAAATGCCAGTATAAGGTCACCTCGAGTCCTACGATACGACAAGGGGATAAGATTTAGGCGTTTTAAGCGCTCGTCGTAAGGGAGACTAGAAAGACCCTTCACTAATTTCGTTCCCACACGTTGGACATGCTCAAGTGAGTTAGTATCCCTAACCAGACACGGGCTAGCTGCTTGGATGCAGTACTCTAAATGTGGTCTTACATATATGGAATATAAAATTGGAAATGTTTCCTCGTCAAAAGATTTGAACGCTCGGCGAAGTGACCATAACGCACGAAAACCTTCGACAGCGGCTGCTTTGCAATGCGTAGAACAGTCTATATCTACTGTGAACCAAGTTTCTGTAACAACGATTATATCGGAATATAATTCTTCCACTATCAGACTTGGCTCGGACGTTTTATTTCTAAGACTACGAGTGTTAGAGTAGCACACACTTAAGGTGTTTTGGCAATCAATCGTTCTACCCATACAGGCCTCGGAAGCATTAACTTCCAAGACCTGACTACCCGGAAACCCTTAATGGTAAGGTTATTTTCGCCATTTAATTTGCGAGTCCTCAACTCCGTAAGAGCATTCATCCACTTGATTCCATC